CAGTGCTGAGGGAGCGCCGCGCTGTCGGAGGGTCAGTGCTGAGGGAGCGCCGCACTGTCGGAGGGTCAGTGCTGAGGGAGCGGGCACTGTCGGAGGTGTTGTCTTCCCAAATGCCCTCTCGGTAGGGCGAGTGGGTGGAGTGTGAGAGATGTGTAAAAGATCTCATGTCCACGATCAGAGAAAGAGCAGGGGCGTTGGGTGGGGCTGGGCCATTCTCTCACCGTGAGTGTGTGGGATCTTGCTGTGTGATAGTTGGCAGCCGCGCCCCCTGAGTGTTTCAGCGGGCAGCGCACCAGGTGGCACGATTCCTTTTAAGAACGAAGCCCTGTGAGGGCGTGGGACGTCCCACGGTGGTTCCGGGCGCTCTATAAAGGCAGAGATCCCGGCGCGTGGGGGTCAGGGGTGGGGCGAGGTTGGTTGCTCTGACCTGCAGCTGGCCGTTCTGAGCCTGCAGGCCGGAATTCTGCTCCTGGAGCGACACCGTGTGTTTCTGGAGTATCAGGATCTGTGCCTGCAGGCTGCCATTCACCGATTCCTGCTGGCCCAGGGCCACTGTCAGGGCCTCCTTCTCCGCCAGGAGCGTGGCGTTCTGCAGAGCGAATGGTGAGAGACTCCCCGTCAGTAAGGGGGGTTGGTGGTGGGGCACAGTCTCTGGGCACTCTCCATCCCCCACCGCACTATCCAGCAACCCCCCACCACCCCGACCCGTCCGCATGGCAAACAGGGACACGGAACATCTCCCCCGCTGGCTCTCTCATCGATTCCCTTCGATCTGTGCCCCTCGGCTTCCCTACCAAAACCGCACCGACCCGATAATTATTCACCAACATGGAACACAGCAACAGCAGCAGGACTGGCCTCTTTGGGCCTCCAAGCCTGGTCTGCCTCTCAGTGTGGTCCATCCAACTCAGTCCTATACAATGGTCACTCTCTCTCTGTCCCTCACTCTCTCTCTGTCCCTCACGCTCTCTCTGTCCCTGTCCCTCACTCTCTCTCTGTCCCTGTTCCTGTCCCTCACTCTCTCTCTGTCCCTCTCCCTCTCCCTGTCCCTCACTCTCTCCCTGTCCCTGTCCCTCACTCTCTCCCTGTC